AAACGTCTTGACTTAAATTTATCTTAGGGAATGATTGTGTATAAAGTTGAAAAGTCGTCCGTAACTAAGCTATTGATTTTTGTAAAATCTTGTGATTTCAAATTGTGGAAAACTTCCTTGGAATTTTTAAGTATCCACATCTGATTCAAACCACTTCTTGAATATATCATTGCACACTACTCTTGAAGTTTCTCCTTCACTACTGTCAATATCTTAATTTGTAAGGAGTAAAAAAAGAGGCTTGGTTGAGAATTTACTGGAACCCGCTATATATCTTTGTTTTTAAGGGTTTTTATGAAGTTTAGAAATCCAAATAGATATGGCAGTTCAAGTTTATTTTGGTTTTTTAGGATATTAAAAATATTCAAAACTGATATGATTTTGAAGAATTTCTTCCTTAGAAAGGGAATGTATGATACAAATATCTCAAAAGATACACATGATTTTGACTCTAAGGACTTTAGATACAGAAAATCTTATCAAAATAAAATTGGAACCGCGCAGCTCGCATCAAGATACTGTGAACATAAAACTGTTAACTATGAATTGTAGATCTGTAAAAAATAAGACTCTTGCTATTTCTGATATGATAGTTTCAAACAAAATTGACATAATGGCTATCACTGAAACTTGGTTGGGTAGTGATATTGATAATGTGGTTTTGCAAGAGCTAGTACCAGAGGGATACAAATGTATCCACATACCTAGAACAAATCGAAAAGGAGGAGGGGTTGCAATGATTTTTTGCAAAAATATTAAGGTAGAACAAATTAAGTCAGACATTGAATTTTCACATTTTGAACATCTTGATTGTATCATTTCTTCTCGTGCAACAAATTCTCGCATCTGCATTGTTTATCGCCCACCTATATCAAAAACAAACAATCTGAAAATGCGAGATTTTTTCGAGGAATGGTCCTTATATTTGAATCAGCATGTCATCGCACCGGAGGAGCTGTTCATGACAGGTGATATCAATTTGCATCTCGAAAAATCTGACGATCCGACTTCCAGACAATTCCATGCGATACTCCAGGAGTATGGTCTTGTACAACACATATCCGCTCCAACTCATAAGCATGGGCACACATTGGACTTCATTATTACACGTGAAAATAGTCATATTTTGACGAATCCCCCTACTGTTGACGACCATTTTCTTTCCGATTTGCGGGGCTTATCTACAGTTGATCATAAAGGAATAAATTCATCGCTATGTCTGTCCAAACCACCTAAAATGCGGAAATCTGTGTCGTTTAGGAAACTCAAAAACATTGCTATTGATAAATTCGGAGAAGATGTCATAACTTCATTATCGAAATATCATCGTGATTTATCACCTGATGAACTCGCACAACGATATGACACAGATATGAGAGCTCTAATTGAGCAACATGCTCCATTACAAACAAAAACCATTGTTGTTAGACCAAATACAGAGTGGTTCTCTGAAGAACTTCGCGATTCAAAGCGAGAAAAACGCAAAGCTGAACGCGTTTGGAGACGTACCGAATTGACTGTACACCGTGACATTTTTCGAGAAAAATGTATCGAACACTCAAAATTGTTGTTTCTAAGCAAGCAGTCGTATTATTCGAACAAAATTATTGAATGTGGGTCGGATAGTAAGAGTTTATATTCCATTACAAATAAACTCATGGGTAATACGAATGAAACACCCCTTCCGGAATGTATTAGTGACAATATCTTATCAAATGAATTCAGCAAATATTTTGTGTCTAAGATTCAGAACATCAGATCATCTTTGTTGTCATCAAATTCCATGAATGACCATCATGCCGATGCACTGTCGTCTGATGTGCCATTTACGGGTGTCCCATTGAATTCATTTGAACCGACGTCTGGTGATGAGATCAGGAAACTCCTATTGTCTATGCCACCAAAATCATGCGCACTAGATGCGGTGCCAACATCGATAATCCGAAATTGCGCTGAACAATTCGTACCTTTCATCACTGAATTGGTGAATAAATCATTAAGTCTATCTGTCATGCCGAAGGAATTCAAACAGGCTATTATTAAGCCATTATTGAAGAAACATAACCTTGAAACGAACGAACTAAAAAACTATAGACCTGTTTCGAATTTATCATTCCTCTCAAAGGTTATTGAGAAAGTCGTTGGAATTCGCCTAGAACATCACCTAGATTCAAACCATTTGCACGATACTCTACAATCTGCATATCGTTCTTATCACTCAACCGAAACTGCACTGTTGCGTGTTCACAATGACATCGCTACCGCCTTAGACAACAACTCTTACGCTGTACTTGTCATGCTCGATCTTTCGGCCGCGTTCGATGTTATAGACCATCAGATTCTTTTCCATCGTCTTGAATACTCATACGGGATATCCGGTTCTGTGCTATCATGGATAAAGTCCTATTTAACTGACAGGAGTCAGAGAGTTTCGGTAGGTGCAACCTTATCAAATGCGGAATCGCTTTAAATCGGTGTGCCTCAGGGCTCGGTTCTTGGACCCCGGTTGTACTGTTTGTTTTCGAAACCTATAGGAAATATATGCAAGCGTCATAAAATGCGGTATCACTGCTATGCAGATGATACCCAAATATATCTCGTTATTGAGCCAAACGAAGACTTGAATAATGTGGCCTCATCTCTTAATGCTTGTCTAGTCGACATAAAACAATGGATGTGCACCAATCTTTTAAAATTAAATCATGAAAAGACTGAATTGATGTTCTTTTGTCCAAAACATAAAATAAAAGACGTTTCTACATTCAATCTTGTCTTTGGAGAGAGCTCAATTAGTGACTCTCCTTTTGTGAAGAACCTTGGAGCCTATTTCGACCAGACTCTAAGTATGGAGAAAAACTGCACTTCAATAGTTAGAACATGCTTCAATAATATCCGGAAAATCGGTCGCATCCGTCCGTACATCACTGACGACGCATGCAAAACCTTGATAAATTCACTTGTGACTTCCCGGCTCGATTATGCAAACTCGTTGATGTATGGCATAAATAAGCAACTTGTGAATAAACTGCAAAAAGTCCAAAATACTGCTGCGCGGCTGATAACTCGTACCAGGAAATCTGATCACGTGACCCCAATCTTGAAAGATCTCCACTGGCTCCCTGTCCAATACAGAAGTCAATATAAAATACTTTTGTTTGTATACAATGCATTGAACAATCGTGCTCCAAATTACTTGTCTGAGCTTCTCAAAATATACTCTCCTTCCAGGTCCTTGCGTTCACAGTGTTCTTTTCTTTTGGATGTTCCTAAAGTTAGAACTGTTACGTACGGCAGTCGTCGATTTGACTACGCCGCCGCCTCACTATGGAACTCTCTCCCTCTGTGTCTTAAAAATTCCAAATCTGTTTCCGCTTTTAAAAAAGGACTCAAAACTCACCTCTTTGAACGAGCTTACGAGGGAATGTAAATATTGTTTTTATAGTGATATATATATATACCTAATGTAAAAGGACACTGAACTGATCTTAAAGTTTTTAATATTTTTTATTTCGTGCTCTAGTGATCGAGTACAGGTTCCTTTAATATTTATTATTATTATTTTTTAAAATGTTTCATAAGTTGTAATTTTTTTAGAGTGACTCCCACGCAACGTAATTTTTTATGGCCTTTTAGTACACATAAAGTCTTTTAGATATCCTATTTTTATGCACAAATATGTATCATGTATTTTTTAAAGTAATTTGTTCGCCAGTTTGTAAGCTTATATCTATTTTAATGTGAAGCGCACTAGAGTGTCATTATTATAATGCGCTATAGAAATTATTGTATTGTATTGTATTGTATTGTATTGTACTCATTATGTAACTCCAACGTGTTGATACAAGTAAAAAGAACACCAAAAAATGGCTAGAAAATAATTGATTATACGCAATTAAAAAAATTAACTAACTAATATTTGGGATGGAGCTATGTGTAGAAATATGTCTTTAATTCTTTACTATATATAAAATACATGTGTATAGACTAATGCAAATCAGCTACTATATATCAATTCCTTCAAATTTGAAAAAAATAATTATAATTGCTGTAATTTTAAAAATGCATAAATTTACGTTTTTAAGGCATAAAGCATATCAGATGACGCTTAACAGTCTAAATTTTATTTTGGTATACAGGCTATCCAGCCTTGAATGTTTGGGTAGCAGGGAAGACAGTTAACGATTTGACAGATAATTTCGAAAAAGCATCAGTTAACGACAGGGGCATATCTAATGAATCGGACGGGACGGTTTACGCTCCGCGGAAGGGAATATATTTCGTGAGTTAGACTGTTCACTCCTCCAACGATACGACTGTTACGTCATCTCTTGTTTCCGGTGATGATATAATCCGTAACCTGACTACAACATCACTTCCGGATCTTCACGCGGTGACCACTTCTATTTTTATTCTTCAATTAGAGAAAGCAGAGACTTTGACAATTAAAATATTTTAAAAGGCGAAATCGGATATTTTGGACTTGACTTTACCGGGTTCATGATTAGACCTATTGATTGAGCTCTAAGATCTAGAGAGTACTTCAATAATTACAGGTATGTTAAAAAGCAGTAATAATTACTAACATTGTGTAGTTTATGAGTGACCTTTTTGAAATTATGATATATTTAAGTGTGTTATAATTATCTGGATTCTGAATAAAAGATATCGTATTTTCTGTCGTGGTTAAAAGTTTCACAATTTGCAAATGTTGATCGTTTGATGTTATAGAGAAATTGTGATTCTAGTAAGATCAGATTTCAAATAAAAATGGGTATAAAAAAGAAATTACTTGAAAACTATTTTTTTTTTTACATTTTCTATTTTTAGAATTTTAATTTTAAAATTGGTCTATTATACCATTATATGTTTCAGTATATTACTTACATAATCAATTCTTGGAAGCCAGTAAATCAATATGGTAAGAAGATGCCAACCGGTTTCCAAAGAATTATCTACACATTTTATTTAAAAAAATCATGAATAAACTAATGACAAAAATACAAAATGCATCACTGATTTATTGAGAGTTCAATATACATGCATCACGTTTTTCGTTTCATATAATATAATAAATATGTTTTCCTATGAAGATAAAGCTCGGACAAACTATTTGTTTGAATTTAGGGTTCATTTGTCTCGAGTGGTTTGTACTCATGTGTCCGTGACGTCATACGATGACGTTTGATGAAAAAGATCACAAACACAGCAAGTCCTACCACCATCACAAAGACAGCCGTTCCGAATCCTGCCACAGCCACAGGTGCCGAGCGTATGTCAACAAAACCGCTCTGTTAATTACAAATTTAAGCATTTTTTTTTAAAAATCATCATTTTAAATACATAACCAAAATTCCAAAGAATGAACAAAGAACGATTTCTAAATTATGAAAATGAAGAAAAATATTAGAAATCCTCCATTCTGCATGAATCATAGAAAATTCAAGCTGAAAGAAACCCCGTTTTTCTCATATGTCCTCTTAAATGGTAATTGTGACGTATTGAATTTGGAACATGGAATTCTCTTACAGGTAATTTACAGCACACACGTCTCCTTTAAATAGTTTATGAAATATGATTTTTCAAAGGATTTTACAAAACATACCCAAAACTGAAATGGGAAATGGCTGTGGAAACTTTTTTAAAGGAGAATTATCCCTGTAGTAATTTATTTTGAGACTTTTTCTGCTCTCAACATTTATTGATATATTTATGACGTCATATATTCAGAAGGGTCCTATTTCATACTATATATTTCTCATGATTCATCACATTCTTTAATTCATGCTTAATCAATTTCAACATTTTTTTTTTGGCTTTACCATGAAATATTTTCAAAAATCATATGAAATGTTTCCTCTATATATTTTATATCTGAATTCATTATCTTTTGTCATGTTTGTATATTCATGACAGGTTTTTTTTTTTTCATTAAAAACTTTTAAAATACATTCTAAAATAAAGTGATAAACATGATAGGAAATGAAAAGTAAAATATGAGGAATATTTTTATGTCATAATTATATGCATTTTAAATGATATAGTTAACAAGATGTGAAGGAAAAGTGTGATATGATGAAATTATTTCTTTATCATATGTATATACTTCTAAATAATGTGATAAACATGAAATAAAAAGTATGATATGAGGAATATTTTTCTTTGTCATACATTTATATGCATTCTAAATTATGTGGTAAACATGATATGAAATGAGATATATGATATGATAAAATTATTTCTTTGTCATGTTTATATACATTCTAAATAATGTGGTAAACTTGATATGAAAAGAATGATATGAGGAATATTTTTCCTTGTCATAATTATATACATTGTAAATTATGTAATAAACATGATATAAAAAGTATGATATAAGGAATAAATTTCTTTCTCAAACTAATATCTATCACATTTAGATGCATCCTTTATTATGATATACACATGACAAAAAATGAAAAATATGATTTGATGAAATTATATCTTTGTCATATTTCTATACATTCTAAATAATGTTGTAAACATGATATGAAAAGAATGAAGAATATATTTCTTTGTCATAATTATATGCATTCTAAATAATGTTGTAAACATGACATGAAATGAAAAGTATGATATGAGGAATCGACGGAAATTTATTTTATCTAAAAGATTCATTTTAGACAGACCGCTTACCCCTGGGGCCTCGTAAGCGTCAGTCTGGGCCGTGGGAGGGGTGGCGATGGGTAGTGGTTCATCATCAATCATAAAAACCATGTCACGTGATACACAGGTATTGTTCTCGTAATGACACATGACCTTTAATTCATCTACGTCATCAACAAACCATAACCATGGTTTAAAGCTGAAATGAAAATATAAATCATGGATCAAAGCATTCTCAATCATAAATACATTGTTTACAGGAAACAAATATTTTTATAGCTAATTAGACTGTAAGTTCAATAAATAATATTCTGTATTTCCGAGAATTGATGAGGTTATAGATGCATGATATACACTGTACAAATGGTAATTTAGAAATACCTGCATGTTCCAAATGCCAAAGTGTATTTATCATTATGATCAGAACCAGAGAAACTTATTTCTTTACAAAATATTATAATTAATTTATAAGCAAAAATTTTATATATGATAAAAAATGTTCTCTTTTAATTAATACATCTCCGTAACATTTTTATTCAATTTCTAATTGTTTTTAGAACACAGTTTTGATATGATGGAAAATTAGTATTCATATTGTGTGCTTATATTTTTCTTTCTAATGTTTTCCTTTTGGGAAATTTATATTGACCTGACAAATAATCTATACAAATGCAAAACGTTTAATGTAGTGAATTCTTCATCCTTTCTCTCATAAACCTTTCATTTTTTTGGCATATTTTGCTTACGACTTTTGGACTTCCTCCCTAAGCCGTTTTTAAGAAAATAGCGTATAAAACTGTTTTTGTGTTCTTGCAAATTTTTGCTGTTCTTAGGCCTTTGCAGTTTTGTCAAGGACTTACAAATTTGTTTTGAGGGTTCAAACAAGTTTCATGATCTGTTTTAATTTCAGAAAAACTTGGATAACAACAATTTTTGATTTTTTAAAACTAATTGTTTAAATTTTCACTCATATTTCATTAAAAAATTGTTTACATTAAAAACCCTTTACTTAAACTACCCCCGATATGATGTTTATCACATTTGTTATGTAACTAACATTTCATTTACACTATCAATGCATTTACTACAGGTACATAGGTTATATAATTTTTGTTAATTGAAATCATCTTTTAATGTGTGTAAAAGTAAAAATAACACAAATATATTGAAATAAAATTTTAACAACTCTAGGGGATTTTACTCAATTTACCTCCATTTTTAACGCATCTGATCCCTTGTTTTCCTCTCATGTTTGGGAAAGTGGTCACATGTTTCAATTCATTAAAGATTCATATTTCAAGTTTAATGTCATTGAAAGGACTTTTGAACGCCCCTCGTATTTTTACTTGCACTCGTTTTTAATTGAAATCAAAATTTTAAATTAATAAACTATAATTTTCCTTAAATCCACTTATAATTATCTTGTGCTAGTAATTTTTTATAGAATATATTGTTAGAAAAACTATGACGTAATAAATGTCGTAATGCTGTGAAATATCATTAAAACATAAAAACTTTCAAAACTTATTACATTTGGTAAAAACCATCTGTACTTAAAGTTTACCTTAATATCATTCCATTTACACTATCATCATTTTCAAATGCTGTATTCAAATAAAAATAAAACATGTAAAAAAACAAAACCCATTCTACTTTTGATCAAAAAATTAAAGGACATAAATTGATGTAATAATCTCTTGAAATTTTCTTTATCTCCATCTGTTTCATATAAATAAATGAGTATATAAATAAATTGTTGGAAAAACTTTCACTATATATATATGCTTCAGTAGTTCGACATTGATCATTTTCAAATGCAGTATTTAAATCCTGTAAAAAGCAAAACCCATTCACTTTTCAAGAAATCACTACATAAAATTGATGTTACAATAATTTTGATTGAAAAACCCCCACTAGAATACATTAACTATACATTCATTTATAATTTTTATAAGGTTATCTGTTTATTTTTCGACTTTTTTGTTTAATTTAAACCAACCGAGAAGTAAAATAATACCTGTTTATTGTTCTCTTTTCTCAGAATATCCATTAATGTCACGTGTAAAGCAGCAAGGATTTGTGACGTACATTGTATATCCGATGATGACGTCACTTCCCTAACAGAGCACATCAATCTTACACTCTCAAACATAAAGCTCAGTCTCTAAAGGGAATAAAATTGTAAAATTGATGAGCTTTTTCTGAATTGAACAAACTGTTATATTTATAAGAAATAAACTTACCGGTCCAATGGAGCATGACTCAAAGTGCTGGACAGCGCTTTGTAGACATTTCAAGGAGACTTGATCGCAAGCCTCGGCAAACATGGCCGAATTCATAACCATGTCGGCTTTCTCCGTCATCTTAGCACGGAATATATCAAATTCATCTCGAATGCACCACTCACCGCTTGCACAGTTTAGCAATAACTCGGTCATTACGTCATCAGAAAACAAAACGTAATACAAATCCCAGATGTTGGCAATTTTCACCAAACTTGGTAGGTCGTCATTACAAAGAGACTGTAAAATGTCTCTTGCTGCACAATTCTGAGTAACGTCTGTCGACTTGAGTGTTGCTGTGCTTGATAAGGTATTGGTGTTTGGCGTACTGTTGTCAGTGGCAGAAGTCTTAGAAAATATATCTTGAACTTGGCTTTGTAATGAAGCGCCAGTATCGTTGGTTATAGATCTATTGGCGTTATTTAGAAAGGATAACAAGGACTGTAAATCGTCATCATTTGAATCACTTCCTCCCGTTCCCTCAGTCGTCATGGAGACGGTCCAGTTGAGAAATGCCTGTGACGTTGAAGTTGAACTGGAAATATTTAAAGTGAAAGTAGTATTCGAATTGATCGTTGTTGACGGTGACACGTTTGTCGATGTAAGTGGCGGATTGGGTGTGGTGGAGGTGTTTGAAGAATCCACATTCTGTTCCTTCTGTAAATCGTTAAAAACTTGCTGAAAGAAACTCTCGTCCCCTGTGTCTTCGTCACAAACAACAATCGGCGGATCCAGAAACAACAATCCTATAAAGTAAACCATCCACATTCTCCGGCGCGGATCCAGTAACAAAACTCTTATAAAGTAAACAATCCACATTTTCTGGCGTGTGTCTTTGAGTATTAAGGGGTAAAGTAATAAAGCATTATAAATCCTTACATAACATGTCGGTTGTTTGTGCGACTTTAACTAAATGCGTGATATCTAAACACACTTAGAACATGAAGAGCAAGAGCAGCAATGAAATCAACTTGAGATGTTCATACAAATTTTTTATTGACAAGACAGATCAATAGATGATAAAAACAATCCATTGATTTGGTTCTTTATACTTAGCATGATGTACGTGTAAACAATACAATGTAAGGTCGCTTCTACTGATTATTACACATTTTCTGTCAAAATAATTCAGCGCCGATGTCTGATGTCATTAATACTAGTAATAATTTATATTTGCAGAGACAAGTATTCAAACTTTAAATTGTTTCTTGTAAAAAAACAACTTTGATATTTTCTCCTTTAATCGGATAATATTGATTTCACCTTGACTTTGGGAGAGATAAAAAGCGTTCGAAAAGAAAACGTGTCGCCTCAATCAATTCCACGACCACTAAGTCTCAGCGATGACACAGTGAAGTCTTTGTAGAGATTTCACGTGCGGCAACACATGGGTTTAATCACAAAAACCTGCACAGTGTACAATAATGCTAGAGCATTGACTTGGATTTCTGGTTTATATTATACATCTATGGCATGCAGTTTGCTGATTTTGAGCCAAATGGTCCTATGCTTTTATATATATCATAAAATACAAATGTAAAAATATAATTATCAAATTTGTCCCAAAATAATTTTTTAGATATTCAAGTGGTAGTTAGAAGAAGATTTCCTCATAGCCATTTTTTTCTCTAATCTTTTACCCTTAAGGTAGGATTCTTATCTGTTTTCTGACTAGATGAATTATTCAAAGTATATTTGCACATATGTCTTATATATTTAGGTTAAGAAATTTAAAAGACAGTATTTTTCTTTCCTCGTCACAATTGTACAACTTTAAATAGAAATGGTAAACTGCGTTTGAAATCTAGCAGGAACTACCATAAATCTGGAATTTTTTATGTCGATTTTATTTTGCGAATCTGGGTTAAAATGCTGTTTATTAATTTTTACGTTTCAAAATTTGCGAATGACCACTACTTTGTTTATATTTTCTTAATGTTGAATTATTTTTAAGTAAAATATTTTTGCGAATGCAATGAACTCGCAAATTTGCTAAAAATTTATCTACTGCAAAAATTTCCATTACGGTATATGCTTGGCGGATGGTGGGGGATGAAATATCTACTTTTCTGCCTCTCAAAATCATTATAGAAATATGAAATTAGTTATATATAATTTTTACATAATCAAAGACTTGAGGAACTTTTCAAATGTAAGTTAAATTAAAAATAAGGGAGTCAAGTTTCAAAATATATCAAATACGAGCGCTGTTCAATAAATAATGTCCTGAACTCTATGACATACAATACAGATACCATATGACATTAAACTTGACTTTCATTCATTATTGAATCTTTACTGAATTTATAACAGCTTATGTGACCACTTTAATTTCATCGCATAGTTTCATCGTGAGAAGTTGGGAAACAAGGGCTATTCGAGACACTGCATTATAAATGAATGGTAAAGAATCAGTAAACTAGAGTGAAAATAAAGGCTACATTAAAGCTGCTGTAATACTTGTTAATAATCCCAAAGAAATATTCACTGTCACAAATATGTGTCATTTACAGCAACCGGTGCCTGTTTTATAGACAAATGAGCAGGTGGATTTCAACGATAAAAAATTATATGATGGGCATCAAAAATGGGTACTCCCTTGCCAACAAAAATTATAACAACTTATGCACTGTTTGCCAAATTTCAACAATTAATATTTGATTAAGTATGATTGACTTTAAGACACATAGCAGATTTGATAGACATCATATCGGGCGAAATTTACACTTTTTTTAAAGAAACGTTTGACAGTAAAAAAGCTTGGTACTCAAAGGTCATCCTATATTTTGAAAAATGAGTAAAAATGACAGCGTGTACGAATGTCTTAATTATTTTAAAATATCAGTAATTGTAGTTATCCACGTTTGTTTTATATCTATTGCTTAAAATCATCAAAACAAAATTTACCATAAGATGTACTTGATAAAAACGGCGAAGGTCTGACAAAAGCAAAGGTATGCAAGAGCACAAAGTCAGGTTTATATGCAATTTTCTTAAATATTACACTGTAGCGATATTAATTGTTGTTCAAATTCATAATTGGGGAGACAGTTTAATATCTGAAGGAGTCTAGAAAGCAATTTTTTGCAAAAAATTGAAGTTTATTAGAGGAAGGACCCAGAATCAGGAATCCACTACATTGAACGTCTTCATGACAGCGTCCATACCCGCATGCCCTGAAGAGTAAAGGGGTTTTCGGGATAAACAGAAAGTTAATGTTTTTTCACATTAACAATATTTGCAAGATCTTTGACCTTTTGACTTGTTTCTATTACCAAACTTGAAAAAAAACCCAACTTTTTAGAAGTCAAAAACAAGTTTAGGAAATCATTGGATCTGCCATTTTCCAGTATACTAAGGGTCATACCAAAAAATGAGTTCTAAAAACAATCAGAAATTGGATAAAAAATGTTACGGACATGTGTTTGAATCAAAAGAGATTAATAAGTAAAATCATGAAGACTAAATCATTGAAGAGCGTCATTTGCTTCTATCGGAGAACCGAGGACATTATTTATTGAACAGCCCTCGTTAATATGATTTTTCAAGCAAAGTAGAATTAAATTAGCTTTTAAAAGCTTCCAATCTAAGAACAGATTTGAGGCAAAAATCCGAAATAAGTGTTTTTTCTCATTTAGTAAACAATAAAAAAAAATTGTTTTTGTATCATTTTGTATTTTTATGTGACAACTTTAAAATATGTGAAAATAAGAAAAAATTAAATAGAGGAAGAAGATAAAAGAAACTAATATATCCTAAAAATTAAAGAAAAATAGAGAAAAATCGGATGAGTCAATTTCCAATTTAATAATATTAATTATGTCGATTTGGTAATATCATCTTATAAGACCTATATGGTAGTATTTTTATAAGCAAAAGGAAAAAAAAATCAATCTTTTGTAAAACAACTATAGGGATCGCATGATTGGCAACAGTAATTTTTTTATTCTTAATGTCCAGCGAAAAGTTCGTGACCTTGACCTAACCTTACCTCTAATACAAAAAGGACAAATTTAATCTCACTGATACTATCACTTAGTGAAATCGTCTTCTTGATTCTGTGAAAATTTCATTAATTAAATACACGAAATATAAGTAGAATCCTACCATAAGTACATGTAGAACCCATTTCTCAGGGGTAGCCAAATTTACCCCTCCTTTTCTTCTAGACAATCAATGTTACATTTTAAATGAAAATCACAATATATTTCTAATGAAAATTAGAGTGATGTGCAAATTTAGATCGTCACAAATCCACTTAGATATTGTCAATCAGAAACTCAAGCATCTCTTTGATGTCAACTTTAGCGTACTTGTGTGTGCAATCAGAATGTGTTTCAACAAAATAATATTGTAAATGTCCAATGACCAGGTCAGTAAATTTACGAGTTCCATTTTTATTGAAAAAGCAGCTTTCAATGATATAAAAAGTCTGGACTTTAATTTATCTTCGGGAATGGTTGTATATAAAGTTGAAAAGTTGTAATTTTTTAAGCTGTTGATTTTGGTAAAATCTTGTGATTTCAAATTGTCCAGAAGTTCTTTGGAATTTTTGAGTATCCACATCTCATTCCTATCACTTCATGAATATATTGTTGCACAGTTCTTTTGAAGTTTTTCCTTCACTTCTGTCAAAATCTTAGTGAGGAGTAACGAAAGAGGCTTGGTTGAACATTTTCTGGAACCCGCAATGTATCTTTGTAAGGATTTTATGAAGTTTCGGAATCCAATATGTATAGGGTACTTTAAATTCATTTTAGCTCTGTGGAATGTTAAAAATATTTAAAACTGACATATAATTTGGAAAAATTTCTTCCTTAGAAAGGGAAGTATGAGTATAAGTAGGATTACCACTTTTAGAACTAAATCCAAATTCTTCTAAAATACAATTTATATAATGAGCCTTACAAACGAAGACAATGTTGTTACCTGCTTTGGCGGCAGGGACCAGTACGAACTGATAGTATAATCTCCTAAATTCTTTTTTCACCTCTGGATTAATGAGTACAGAAGGATAGATGGTTTTCATATCCCCCCATCTTCTAATATGCGACATTAACATGGGTCTGATACATAAAGTCCATTCTGACAAGGTGTCAACGTCTATTTTTTCACATCTGGCCCATCGTCTGGAGTAATTTTCAACAGAATCTACAATATTTATGAAATTCCGCTGCCAGTTGAAGGGTCGGGGTTCCCTATATTTAGGACTTTTTAAAATAAATAACCTCAGGCCCTCATTAATTTTTTTTAATATAGTTTATCCAAAATAAGATTTGATTCAATGATCACCAGCGATCTTGCAACCAAAAATACACAAAAGAACGAGTCACATATGGTGTTTCAACATTTATTATAGTTCCCATGTATAATAAATTACATGTATTTGTGCATTTTTAATCTATGCATCACAAAACCATATATATATATAATATTTAAAATATTTATTAACATACAAAATCACTTCTCAAATGATGATATAATTTAAGTTAAAAACAACTTTCAAGCAACTACTGGCAAAACTAAGCAACAATAAACATTCTTTCAATGAAAGGAAGCAGGGAGCTTCCATTACAGACATTTTAATAACACACTGTAAATCATTTTCACCCCACATAAACAATGGGTGTTATAAATAAATGAATAATTGTTGTGATGGTGTAAATGCATATGTGTAGCAAAACTGAATGGCACAAAATTTTTGGGAACAAATCAAAATCAAGAAAATAATTTTAAATTGACCCAGGATTACCAGAAATCTGATGTAGAGTAAAAAAGGTTGAATAAAATATTGTGCCAATTTTAGTTTTATATATAATTACAAAAATATGATTGTTTTTAATATTGAGTTTTCATGACAAAAGAGCAACAATAATAATAGAAGAAAAAAAAATACAGTGATTGAGAGAAAACTGAAAAAAAATATCAGAAAAGGAAAATATGTGATATGTTTGCTGGCAATGGATTCAGACATTGTAAAAATATAAATAATCTAAATTTGTTTTCCATAGAATACAGGAAATGTTATACTATGTTTGAGACATAATTCAAAGCAAATTATCAAAAGAAAAGATCCCCCCCCAACAAAAAAACGACTCTCTGCCACAAAAAAACCTTTTGATTAAAATCACAAACAGAAAACAAGGATATAATCAAATACAAGCAAATATGGACCATGAAAATATGTGATGATTTATCATTTTTAAGAGTTGTCTTTCTTTTTTTCCTAGCAAGGGTTACATGTACTCCACCTTAAATATTTTGTAATAAATAGATGACACCATTGTGACTTTTCCAGTTAGCACAGATGTAACTGTACATACGTATATACAAAAATGCATATGCAATCCATAATACAAATACCCATATATATATTACATGTACAAATTATCATGTACAGACAAATTGAAATAACAGCTAGTCTTTATAATATCAAAAATAATACAAAATATGAGACATCTAAAAATTCATTCAACTCCACTACATATTTTGAATTTAGATAATTATAAAAATGGCAGATACCAGTGGCTTAAGTACTGCAGCAGTACTTTTTTCCGCAATTACTATGTACCCGGTTTTCTCTACTTAATATAAATGTAAATATAATGAACAAACAAAAATAATTGTTTTCCAAAATAACCCCGTGGAAAAAAGTACGTCTAAGTAATCAAAGTACAATTTTCTCTATAAAAATTTCAACAAACAAAAAAAAAATCTTTTTCCAAAACGGTGGTTGAGCAAATACAGTCAGTGGTTTTATACTTGAGGCAAAACGGAATTCAATGATCACAAGGGCACGTAATGGGTAACAACAATTATCAAGGGAGTCCCTATCACTCCCCTAGTAAACAACAAATTACTCTATAAAGCACACACACAGTCTCAATCCGAATAAAAAAACTCGGACAATGAAGAGCTTTCAAAAATATTGATGTCTGAAATCAAATTTAGATCGATTTATTGCATGAGATGCAATATACAAATGGAAGCAATGGGAAATGCAAACTAAGATGTTAAAAAGAAGAAATAAATTCAGATCTGAAAGCATAACTCTGCTAATGCAAAGTGAAGGTTAAAACATGAGACTGCTTTCATTCTATATTTGCTGTAGTTTGGAGAAATAAGCATACAAGTAACATCCTTTATCTAAAAATTTTTGAAACCATTCCAAAAATTATCTTTCCTTTAAGAAAAGCAATTATATTTATGTGACCCTTTAAACAATTAACACCAAAAAGTATGAAAAAGTTCATAATCAACTTTAATTAATTTCCAATTTAAAGAGAAATTGGAATTCAAACAGTTTGACTAAGATAAATCTATTCTATATTATTACAAAATCTTATTTGCTGACTGAAATTTATAACATTTTGTGTCTAAATGAAAGCTGATGTAGTTTTGTTTTTAATATCCACTACAAAACTTTAAAACAATTTCAAAAATAATTTTAGTTTTCTTTTTTAAGTAGGTAACAACATGTAAATGATTCAAATCAATATGGTCTTCAAACTTTTGTACAGTAACTGTAAAAAAAAATTAATACAAAATCAAAATAACTTTAAGTACAACAGAGAAATAACAAAATACAATGTAATACATCTGTGTATATATTTGCATACATTAACAGCTCATGTAATTTCTTTTGCCCAGTGAGCTTTACTGCGTAGTAAATAGACTGTTGATTTACAGATCTTCTACTTATATACAAAGATACATAGATTTAATAAATACTCCACTAATCTTAAATACACATAATGAATGATTATAAAATACCCACAATTTGTGCCCAGTGGTATATAATATGCTTGAATAATAATAAAATCCTCTAAACAAGCAGAAGTTGCTATTTTAATCATCTGTAAACTTTATTATGTTTATATCTGATTAAGACAAAATAATTATGGTTTTGTTTATATTGTACTGCTTGTGAAAAGAATAATTGTATTTTGACAATGCTATTTTTGAATAATGCTGACTAAGAAAATATTTTTTTTTATAATTACATGCATGTATAACTCTATAAATGGGTGAATATCACATTAGGCATATACAACTCCCCCTTCCATGTTTTCTACCTTTGCTTGCGACCAGCGCTAGCAATCTAACAACCAATTCCAAACAAGGCTACCTTAAAGGAGATGGGTGGTTGTGGCCATTTTTAGAACTTTCTTGATCTCCTTTAGAAGAAGAGCTCCATGTAAATATAATAATACAATAATAATAAAATTTTGAAATTAAATGTATGTACTTTTTTTGCCAAATGTACATTATATTTAAAAAGAATTACTGTGAAATCACTAATTTTTGTGGGGGTTCAATTCCATTGTTTTTGAGGTATGGAGAGAGAGACCCATAAATTTATGACCACCATGAAATATAAAATTTCATATGCATTACTACTAAACATTTTCAAAACACAAATCCAGATCCCCACAAACCAATATACACCCCCGTCCCCAAAGTTCGAAAATTTGACCCCACTAAAATATTTGATATTACAGTAAGTTATATCTGATGGTTTATTTGTTGACCTTCCAGCCACATTAACACTGACTTTCTTAACTTCTCACTTCAAAACTATCATAATAACTGTTTTACTGGAGATGTGGGAAATTTCAAATTTTCCCCAAGTAGCCCAAGCTTGATAAATACCTGAAATTTATGGTATCTATAAAGAGATATTAAACCAGTTAAACCAACACCTAAACAATTATTCTGAAAAGGTTCAAATTGTATTCAGATTTTTTACATACAGATAACGTTCAGACATAGGATAATTATCTGTATGTATCTGGATTTAACCCATAGCATGATCTAGATAATGATAATTGTTTATAATTATCTGAACTTAACCATATACATTATCTAGAAAATTTTCAGCATAACAAGATAATTATCAAGTATCTTGATTTATCCTCATGATAAAGATAATTTTCAGATATCAGACAATAATCTAAAAGTATAAAAGTTTAATCCTATGCATCATTTAGATAATGATAATTATCTGTAAGTATCTGGATTTAATCCCATGCATTATTTAGGTAATAATGATTATCTATAAGCATCTTGATTTATCCCTTTGCATTATCTAGATAATGATAATTATCTATAAGTATCTGGATTTATCCCTATGCATTATCTAGATAATGATCATTATCTATAAGTATCTGGATTCACCCTATGCATTATCTAGATAACGATAATTATCTATAAGTATCTGGATTCACCCTATGCATTATCTAGATAATGATAATTATCTGTAAGTATATGGATTTATCCCTATGCATTATCTAGATAATGATAATTATCTGTAAGTATCTGGATTTATCCTAAGCATTATCTTGATAATGATAATTATCTGTAAGTATCTGGATTTATCCTAAGCGTTATCTAGATAATTATCTATAAGTATCTGGATTTATCCTAAGCGTTATCTAGATAATGATAATTATCTATAAGTATCTGGATTTATCCCTATGCATTATCTAGATAATTATCTGTAAGTATCTAGATTTATCCTATGCGTTATCTAGATAATGTTCAAACGTCCACTTCTGTGAGTCTTTGTTGTTACACTTTTCTGTAAACACCAGGCCATTGTTTTTAACGTCTTTTTTATCTAGACACAAAACGTCGCCACTAGAGGATGTTCCTGTTATTATCATTTTGTCCTGCAAAAAACAATTCTCCAAGCTAAAGCACTGAAGTATCACTGTCTATATACATGTATTTCAACAAAAATAACAAAGACATAGGAAGCAGTGTATTTGGCTTGTTTAAATGACTAAATAGGAAAAACTACAATTTAAACAGTATCCACTATAAAAACATAATCTTGAAGTTTTGCAGGAAGTCAAAAATTATTTAAAATTAAAATATCTTTCTGAATAAAACAATCTAACCCTCTTTTAATATACTTCTTATATTTAATTAACTTTATTTTTACATCAATTTATGAATAGCAAGTCATTTATGGAATTTTTTTAGGTTTTGTGTGAGTTATTGTGTGTGAATCACACAGACTTGTCACATAGGTATATTTCATGAAGCGCGCTAGAAAAATATACCTATGTGCAAGTCTGTGTGATTCTCACACCAATAATTCACACTAAACTTAAAAACATTCCTTATATTTACATTTTAAATGTTTTGAAGCACCAAAAATATACTCAATATTCAAATTTCTCGCTGTCCTATGTCGTTATACTTTTACTAACGTCCCTGCATGTTCATTGTGACGTCAGGTTAGCACACATTTCTTCATTTACATTTCTACGTGTGAGTATACACGAAATTGGTTTTCAAATCAATTTTGCAGTTGGCTTAGTAGAAAAACACAGCAAATGTAAATATTATAATATGTATCGAGATCCTTTTCCTTTCAATTTTTACCTTGGCTAACCTTTCACCTTTTGACCCCTACCTTATCATGTTTCCATTTCTGATTGGCTGACCCTGTGCAGGGTTCTAATGGCACATGACCTCCCTCTGATATAACACTCAGACACGCCTCTTCTCGCCGCAGCTCATCATTTATACTCAAGGAGAACACCTGGAAAAATCAAAGGACTAATCAGACTTATACATGGGAAAATCAAAGTACTTAAAGTACTGGAAGACAGGGCTACGCACTGCAAATACAAATCAACAGTCAATGCTTTTTAATCCCTTTACAATACAATGATACACATTAACTGGCTGGGTCTTAAGGCAACATGTGTTTTTTTGGACCCTAGCTGCAGATCTGTAGCATTATGGTTTTATATATTAGTTTTTGACCATAACGCTACAGATCCAGCAATGCAAAAAATGTGCAATTCACGGCACAAGATTTTTTGCACACCATTTAGGAGAATTTCTTCCCTTTCCAACTTTGGTAAATCATTTACCTTACACCCCCTAATTTCAGACACATTCTTAAACCAATTTGTATATTTTATCTACCTCTAAACCCTTTATAGTCGCCTCTACAGGCAACAAACTGGCTTGAGTTGAATTGTCAGAGGAATTGCAGAAAATTTTAATTCAAGCAAGTTTATCACTTGTAGAGATGACTATAAAGGGTTGAGAGGTAGATAAAATACAGTCAAACTTGTCTTAGCGGCCACTTGAAATCAGCGGCCACTCCCGATGAACGGCCACTCTCGATTCCCCCCAATGGTTTTTTCTATATAATTGTACTTGAATAAACGGCCACCTGCGTAACGCGGCCAGCGGCCACTCGAATCCTGGCCCAAATCGTTAATTACACTGCAATAAGCGGCCATTTTGTCCAACGACTCGATTTTATCACGTGATATTTCACATGATTTAATCAGCTGTGACGAAGGTGGATTTTGGCTTGGGCAATTAAATACTGGTCTGTTTATCTAAACCTATTATACAGATTTGTGTTCAAATTAAATATTTTGTTCTCTATTATCATTGTTTGTCTTTTTTACTCAATGTTGAAATGGCTTCGCCAACTGTAAAACGGAAAGTTTTAACTTTAGTAGAAAAAATCAAAGTTATTGATTTAGACAAAAAAGGTGCTTCTTCCCGCAAGATTGCGACAGAATTAAATGTTGGGAAAACGCAGTTTAATAACATTTTGAAAAGAAAGACCGAATATATGGAGGATTTTCAAAATAACGTTGACCCAGAGAGAAAAGGGCGGAGACACGTCACTGGAAATGAAGAAGTAAATGATCTGTGCTGGGAATGGTTCAAGGATGCAACTTCGCGTAGAATAAATGTAACGGGACCTCTTCTACAAGAGAAAGCGTTGAAATTTGCATCTGATTTAAAAATTGAATCATTTAAGGCATCAAACGGATGGCTTGACTCCTTCCGTAAAAGACACAGCATTACTTTCTCTACTATGTCTGGTGAATGGGGGGATGTAAATTTACAAACAGTTGATGATTGGAAATCAAAACTTCCCGAACTTTGTAAAAACTATGAAAATAGAAATATTTTTAACATGGATGAGACAGGATTATTTTTCCACGACACTTCGCGACAAACTCTCTTCATTAAGGGACAAGACTGTGCCGGAGGTAAACGATCTAAAGAAAGAATTACAGTTGCTCTGTGTGCGTCAATGTCTGGCGAAAAATTAAAACCCCTTCTTATAGGTAAATCCCGACAGCCAAGGTGTTTCTCTAAAATCAAACCAGAATCACTGCCTGTGACATACAAATTTAACTCAAAATCTTGGATGAATTCCTATGTCATGGAGGAATGGCTAAAACAGCTGGACAGTTCAATGCGCCGCCATTTTTTCTTGCAACGCTCCATCTCATCCTAATATTAAACTATCAAATGTGGAGTTACAATTTCTCCCACCAAATACGACATCTAAAACTCAAACGATGGATATGGGCATAATTCAGGCTATGAAGCTAAAATTCAGGAAAAGACAGGTACATGTACATATAATTATTTTTCTTCTCGTGATCATGTTTTAAATGACCTTATAATCCATCTTTATCTATAAAACACATTATGTTTAATTTTTAGAATGCCGTAATTTTATCTTAGGAATGTGCAGTAGAGCGGAACCGTTTTACTCAATTAGAATTTACCGCTATCTTTACACTGTGTCGCTAGCTTTTAATGTTTTTGTAAGAGGGGGTGCAGCTATTATTATAATGAATCGAGAATTAATGTTGTTTCTGTTCATAATTTTTTTTAGATGAAGCACATGATTAAAGAGATGGATAAACACCCCGACATTTGTGGTACCGAAATTCTGAAACACATTACGATACTGGACGCAATCTATTGGGTGCATAGTGCTTGGGAAGAGGTCCAGACTTCAACAATACAAAAGTGCTTCTCAAAAGCTGGTTTTCTTTGTGAAAACATTGATAGTGATGATGATTTCGACGATGACGATGACGTGCCGCTTTCAGTTTTAAAACTGGCACATGACATGTTTGGTTGTTAATTCAATGACCTATCTGAGATGGATCAAACACTGTCAACCTGTGACAATTCAGCCAAGGACTGGGACAGACCAGCTACCGATCTGTTGAATACATTGGAATCTGATGGTAGCGAAAGTGAAAGTGATTCTGATAATAAAGAAACAAATTGTTGCTCTGTCACTGAATTTGCCCAGTTTCATGGTAACACAAGATTGTTGTCATTTCTCATGAGTGCATGTGAATATTTGAATGACATGTCTTTGAACAGTAGCAAACAGAAACCAATTACCTGTTTTTAAAAAAGAGACACAGTGACACAAGTGGTATTATATACATGTATATACCTGGCCATTAAAATGTACCCTGTTGTGTAATAAATTACAAATTTCTCCATGTGTTAATTTACTGGCTCCTAGAAAACTGGATTTAAAGGCCACCTGTGATAAACTTTTGCAACTTCCCTAAGGTGGCCTCTTAAAACAAGTTTGACTGTATACAGATGTACTTAAAAATGTGTCTAGAATAATGAAAGGAAAGGTAAATAGTTTAACAAAGCTGGAAAGGGGAGAAATTTTTCCAAACAGTGCATAAAAAATCTTGTGCTGTAAATTGCACATTTTATGCATTATGGATTTGTAGCGTTATGGTCAAAGACTAATATATAAAACCATAACGCTACAGATCTGCAGCTATTTGGACCCAAGAACCAAATTGTTTGCATGAGGTGATTGGGTGGACGGCAAAGAGTTTGGTTCTAGAGATGGACATAACACATTTTTGCTGTTCCATTTTGTGTGTTTTGTTCTTCCTTCAAACTGAAACCATCACTTTGTATGGGCCTGACAAACTACAGGTAACTCTTGATGGCTCGACATCTTTTCTAAAAATATGTTTTTTTTTCCCTATATAACTAAGCAAATTTACTCTTGATTTCTCGAACTCTTGATCTCTCGAAACCCTTGATCCCTCGAAGTAAAATTGCAGTTCCGCTGTGCATATTCTATTGAAATTCACCCTTGATACCTCGAAGTGGCTATGTGTATACAAAGTTACATAATTAGCAACTTTACCTGGACATTTAATGACCCCAGGCAGAAGACGCGGGTCTCGTGAAACGGGATGTTTATTCAGGTGACACTTATTCTGCAAGGTGATAATTGATTTATAAATAATCTTATGGTGCCTATGAGCTATCAAAATAATAACCATCGTCTGTATTACGATAATTCAGAAACGTATCACTAAAATTGTTTCACAATTGCAGATCATACATTATTGACAACTTTCAAAGTTTAACGTAATATGAAAATTCAGAAACATCCTCGCTGTCAATTAGACGACTTTTGTTTTACAAATACATACATACATACAAGATTTCGTTCAATGCACATGTTTGCCACTTTGGAAAAGTCACAATGTTATGTACCACGCGACGCTGGTAAATGCCGTTTTCATATAACGAATGAGTAGAATGATATCCGTATGATAAAAAAAATAAAAATACACGAACTGACGATGTACATTTTTTGCTTCACTCAGTTTAATAAATATTCATCTTAAATACGAAAACATATCGTTGTTTAGTTTAAAATACGGGTAAAAGGTACAGACTGCATGAAAATCATTACATCCGGTATGACTAATTTTAAAACCTGTCAAACAAACCCGGAGAAATCCGGACTCTTGAAAACTCGAACCCTTGATCTCTCGAAGTTTTTCCTTGGTCCCGCGGACTTCGAGGTATCGAGAGTTACCTGTAAATACCTAAAAACATCAGCAATAAGATGTGTGTTCTTTCTGCCAATCAGAAAACGTACCTCGATAGGGCTGGCCCCATCAAGTCTTAACTCTAATATCTTTCGACACCTTGGAGATATCGACATTTTCCAATAATTCATCATGTTGCAATAACAAAATTTACCTGTTTACAATAAGATGCATGTTCTTTCCGCCAATCAAAAGACATACCTCATTAGCGCTGGCCCCGTTCTGACAGCTGTATAGCCCCATATCAAACACAGTCTTCTCGTCCTTCTGTAGGGTGTCCAGACAGAGGTTACTGGACGGATTCCTCACCTGTTAATTACACACACACCTTGATATCACAAATATCCTCTTTAGTTAATTACAAACACTCTTTAATGAGAAATAATATTAGAAATTTTACCTTATCTTACCCATCTTTTAAAATAAAAAATGATCAAGCAATGAAAACATTGTAATACATATGATTGTATATCCATCATGCAAGAGTACATATATATAGACAGTTATTCAATTCATGAATTCAAAGTTTATACTTCATCTTGAGTATCTTTTTTAAATTCCCTTATAATTTAACATATTTTTAAAAATATGTTTTTCCTTTCAATTTACATCTCCATGGACGATGCATGTAAAAATTTCTGCTTAGAAATTAGAAATAGGAATTCAATAGTGATAAAAAGTGTATAATTTTTGTATCTTTCTGTTTACCATTCCCCAGGCGTGCACGTTCTCGTCTGGTATAAATTTTTCTGGGTACACGTTGTCTAGGTACCACTTGAAGCTCTTACACTTCAGCCTCTTTCTGAGTTCTACACGTTCTGAAATATCTCCGTAATCCTGGCCCTAAAACATATTCATAAACATCATTATCACATTAAACTGAATTTTAATTGTGGTGGAACAGAACAGACATGTACCTCATAACCTTGGCTTTAAAATTTGTTCTTTAATACTCTCTCATAACAATTATAATTTTTGCAAATAAAACACTAGTTTACATTGCACAACTTTATGATATTAATTTTGTATTATGTATGCATTGACAACATCATTAGTTTTTTCCCATCATTTTACTGTATCATTGGAATTTTAAGTGAGACACAGATTTAGCAAATTAAAACTATAGCTTAAATTATACTGAGTTCTAAGAATTTGCTCCCATTTTAAATTCACCCATCTGAAAGTAAGGCAAAAGGGGTGAGTATAAAACGAGGGTAAAATTTTCCCTGTATACAGAATATCTTCTCACCAGCAAGTCTTTTCTGTGAGTATAAAACAGTCTTTTATATTCATCCATCCAGACCTCCGCCAATCTCATAGAGTTAATACCATGTGTGTCCTTATTCCCTGTCATAACAAAGAGACTGTCAATAAAAACAAGCGCCTTATGATACAGTAACAGATAAAATTCAGAGTCTAGTACTTCATTACCAGTGATATCTAGAATTGATTCATCAAACCTGACTTTATCATTAACGATACCCTTTTCAGAGTGTATGTCTTTACCATTGACATGAAGAATTTATCAAACCTGATTTTATCATATTAAATGATACCCTCACACCTGAAGTTCAATGTCTGCCATTTTCAGTAATTCATGCAAGTGATTTTACAGAACAACAGTCAAATCTCATTATCCTGAACTTTTGACCAAGAAAAAAAAACACTTGATATCAGAGAATTAAAGGTATTGACAGAGGTTTAAAAAGTCATTTTGACATGTTCATGGTATTCAAGTGTTCCAAATACTGACAATTAACTATACCAATTTCTTCATGTTGTGTTGAGTTTGCTTGCAACTGAGCAATTAACAAGTTTCGTCAACCTTTCAGATCAGAGGCTGGCCATTGTTTAGCTACACATTACATGATATTGTACATCACAGCTTAAATACCTGGAAATGTATAAGGATGACTTGCTCTGAAGATGTGACCCACTCTGGAACATGGAATAAATTCTAATTTTCCTCCACACATCCACGTCTGGAATAGATTGAAATAAATACATAAAATATATAAAGGTATATCTTATGAAAACAATTTTTAAAAATATGTTTAATTCCTACAAGAAAGAATCAAAAAAGGATTGCAAGCATGAATACATTAAATTTGCCATTATAACATAGCACAAAAAAGTCACAAGTAACTATCTATTTCATTAACCAATAACTTCTTAGTTAAGTTTACAGTTGCCAGTACCTTCTTCCATATTTAAGTTAATGAAAAATTTGTACTTAAGTTACAAGAAACTTATTACTTATGTTACCAGTAATTTCCTTATTAAGTTACATGTACAACCCTCGTACCACTGGTTTTTAATCTATATTGCCAGTGACTTTTAATTTACATATTAACTAACCATTACTTTCTTACTTTAAGCTACCTGTAGTTTTTATCTATTTTTCCCAGTAATTTTTTATTTTATTTTACCAATACATTCTCACCCTAAAGGAGATTTCCAGATTTTCGCCGCCCCAAACGTCCATTCCGGGATCGTATGCTCCGATCTCAAAGAAGTACTTCCTGTCTGCAGCAAACAGTCCACCCGCCATTGTGGGTGATCTAATCATAGTGACAAAGACATAAAAACCCGAGAACGCATGACAGAAATATATATACATGTATGTATGTACATGTATAATTATTACTCTGGTCAGAATCATCACACTGTGACTGGGAATGAAACTGAAAATTCAAATTACAGTGACATGTATTAGTATGCAACTAAATTGAACAGTGATACAATGATATTATTATCATACGTTAACCGTCAGTGACAGCAACTATACTCTGTGCAATCAAGTTCTGAGGCCTGTTCAACAAAGCAAATGTTCGCAAGCGCTCGCCAAATTCCTTATACCTCCAATAGAAATGTTCTCTAACTTTCACTCTGTTGAACAAACCTGTTTTTTTTTCTTTTACAGATTTCTTATAGAAGATTAATTCTAGTTCATAAAATAGAAATAATAATAAAAAAAAAACACACAAAATGAAGCTTTAAAGAGTTATGGTCACTGAAATTTTTCAAGTTTATTTGTAAAGATTCTATACTCTTAATTAGAAGGAAATGAGTATCTAAAATTAAATCTTTGTTATGTCCAGGTTTTTGTTTTTATCTATATAACATAAAATGACTTGCTCTTTTTAGCATATATAATCATAAATAATAATTGCTTTATCTATAATCTATTCATTTTCTCTGTGTGTGAGCTCTATCAGAAATCCAAATCAGACATGTTTAATCTAAATGGCAATTATTATGAATAAAGAGAAAAAAAGACTTGGTCAAGGAAGGCTACCTACATTATGTAGTAGTAAGACTATGATTAAGTTACTGACTTAAAACCCCTCATTACATATTTTATTACATTGTTACAAATTAAATGTAATTTTCATAGAATGTAACCTTGACCACTGCACATGCTTCATGACCTTTGTAACCTTACTAACCCTACAGGGTCTGTGTACTTCCTGTGAGTTTTGTCTCGAATTGGAACATTCCTCCAAGTAAAGTGCAGACTCCAGGAAAATCCTCCAACCTGGTAACCCCCGTTTTTGGAATATTCCAATGTTTCAGCATCAATGGCATCCACAATGGGACAAAGAACACTGGTAGGGGATACCTTAATTCTGTGAAGGATGGGTTCTATCCTGAAGAGTTCACCAAAGGGACATAAATCTTACACATCATGTATATATAATATATTACTACACTAGTGCACCCATGGTCTCTGATTCTGTGTCTGTCTGATCCCTGCATGTAATCTCCACAGAATTTTGAAGGACTTTATGAATGAAAACATTTTGAGTATTCATCTAATACAATATTTTCCTGCTTTCTGTTTTGCCCCCCTCCCCTTCACATACACACAATAATTTCTCACTTGGGCTTGAACTTCCCATTGGTATGCACAATTTTACATGACTTACTTTTGTGTTCAATTCATGTCATGATTTTAAAAACCATATCTGCTAAAATTGACACTTTTATGATGGACATTGTAGAAAAAATATAGTTGGACCAGGAATTCCCCCCTACAATACATCAAGTCAGGTGCTCTCACTGATCACTCGCTGACTGAGCTATATGTAAGTTACCCAGGTTGATTATTCTATTCAATGACATGTGGATCAAAATATTAAACTTAAAAAAATTACGGCTATCTCAAACAATTCAACAAGAACATGTTGTTTATTTATGCAAGATGTCCTAATTTCAAGAACTAAATGTAGGGCAGAAATAAATACTAGGCTGGTTTTTGCTAGAGGACATTAATACACATCACTCTAGGACTGTCTGTCAAAAATTAAAATACATTTCCCTCATCTAGACAGCTGACATTAATGTAATTACTGTGACATTACAGTGGTTTTATAATTACTGATGTTTAATAATCTCACATGAAGAGAGAATCATTAATTCTATGATCTACATTTCTTTAAACTTAGGTTATCAACTGAAAATCGAGTTATTTATATTAAAAATAATCCAGTGATAAATCATTAATACAAAAGCAGGGGCTTTCTCTGAAAAAGAATCTAGAAAAGCTTTATAGGTATATAACACCCTGTGATATAATGGTGAATCGCCTTTAGCCATTTGCACACGTAGTAGGCTACACACATATATAAATATTATATGTTTCTATAGTGAAGCAAATCATCCCATAAAATGTGCCACAATGGCATTATTGAGTGTAATTGATATTAGTAAATTAATACAGCAAATTGTTAAAAAAGCACATGCTAGGTTTGCTGAGGCTATTAAGTTAACAATACTCCACCAATAAAGAAATTTGTTTTCATGCTGATAATCACACATGCTCAATATACTCAATGCTCCACTGACTGAACCTGCAGATTTTGTTGTATTTACTCATGAAATGCAGAGAGATTGAGTGCAGAAAATGCAAAAAATAAAATCATATTTGAACTTTGAAATTTACTATCTATTAATTAAACATGCTTGAATAAAATTAACAATAATGATAAATAAATCATTCATTGATTTTTTTTACTGCAAGTCAAATGACTTTCAACAGACATTGTAGGAATTAACCATTGAGTATACTGTAATATGGTTATACTGCATTATGTATGGATTTTAATTCAGCTACACACGTGGATACCTAATGGGTGCTATGGCTGACGACCGTCGATCCTGTTCGTGTTTCGGTATCGGTCTCCAGGAGAAGTGGAGTGACCACCAGAATCCCCCGACTGAGAACGAGCCTGTCCCCCCGTACTGTAGCGTGTTCTTGTCAATCAGGTCGATCTCTGGACACAGGACGGCCGACCGGTCCTCTCGGATCCGAGCCAGTAACGGCTCCAGCCTGTTAGAACAAAATTACCGCCCACTAAATAACCAGGCAGAATAACCGCCCACTAAATAACCAGGCAGAATAACCGCCCACTAAATAAATAGGGAGAATAAACCACACGCTCAATGACGATGCATGCTTACGCCACAAAATTACCACCAGTACCCATGTAACATAATGTAACTAAAAAAATTTATACATAAATGATAAAAAAACATAAGAAGCCCAATTGAAGCCCCACTGCTAGGTGAAAATACTGTCCAAATCAACAAGTACTATATACAGAAACATGTATACTTATTAAATCAATATCAAGTGATAACTAAGGAAAGTTTACTCAGATAAAAAAAAAAATTTCACCAAAAAAATTGACATTTTTTAAACTTAACCTATGTTTGTAGAGCTACTTCATTCACTTACAGATAATGTCAACGGTACACTAAATTGTTGATTTTGTCCGTCATTTATCTTCATGTTCTATAACATTGAGAGACCCAATAATACATGAGCCACAATGTCCGAGTGAAACTAAGACCATATTTTTCTGATACAAGTTATACATGTAACTTATAAACTATATAAAATTGATGAATTTGATAAAGTGTTTAGGTACTGTAGTAAAACAACTGTTAGTAATTTCAAAGGCTAAGGGTACCATCAAGTGAAAAGTGACACCATCAATTTCTATGTGGACATTTATGCAGCAACTATCATATATTGAGAAGAATGATGTGTTTTGCATTTAAGAAAGGCTACATAATCATGTCATTTAGTCTCAGGTCAACTGAGAATATATAACCATACAATTAATAATAAAGTAAATATTTCAATTCGACAGAGAACTGCCTGTGTAAAAACAATGCAGGGACAGCTAATCAGAGACCATGGTCAATTAAAAAAAAACTTAAAATACAGCACACAATAATCTTTTATCTCTAAGCTGAGAAACATCGTAGCGTGTTTTATTATTTTGAAGGTAGCTAGCTTACCATCCGGGGCCGGCTTCACAGTGTGAATCCAGGAAGATCAGCACGTCGCCAGTAGCCGCCTTGGCTCCCGCTAGACGAGCTCGGATCAATCCGCTACGCTCCGTGGTACGGATGATTTTCACAATCCCGTCAGGCCAGGTGTGAGCGACATACTCCCTCAGCTTACTGCCCAGCTCAGCTGTAAATAGAGAGGAGAAATACAGAGTGTTGTATGATAACACATATAGCTCAGCTGTAAATAGAGAGGAGAAATACAGAGTGTTGTATGATAACATACATAGCTCAGCTGTAAACATAGAGAGGAGAAATACGGAGTGTTGTATGATAACATATATAGCTCAGCTGTAAACATAGAGAGGAGAAATACAGTGTTGTATGATAACATATATAGCTCAGCTGTAAATAGAGAGGAGAAATACAGAGTGTTGTATGATAAAATACATAGCTCAGCTGTAAACATAGAGAGGAGAAATACAGAGTGTTGTATGATAACATATATAGCTCAGCTGTAAACATAGAGAGGAGAAATACAGTGTTGTATGATAACATATATAGCTCAGCTGTAAATTCAGCTGTAAATAGAGAGGAGAAATACAGAGTGTTGTATGATAACACATATAGCTCAGCTGTAAACATAGAGAGGAGAAATACAGAGTGTTGTATGATAACATATATAGCTCAGCTGTAAACACAGAGAGGAGAAATACAGAGTGTTGTATGATAACACATATAGCTCAGCTGTAAACACAGAGAGGAGAAATACAGAGTGTTGTATGATAACACATATAGCTCAGCTGTAAACACAAAGAGGAGAAATACAGAGTGTTGTATGATAACATACATAGCTCAGCTGTAAATAGAGAGGAGAAATACAGAGTGTTGTATGATAACAAATATAGCTCAGCTGTAAATAGAGGAGAAATACAGAGTGTTGTATGATAACATATATAGCTCAGCTGTAAATATAGAGAGGAGAAATACAGTGTTGTATGATAAAGCTTAGCTGTAAACATAGAGAGCAAAAATTATACAGTGTATTGTTATACATAAAGCTCAGCTGTAAACATACGTGAAATACAGTATGTGTGTACAGTTCAGCTATAAACATAGAAGAGAAATACAGTATGTATGTATGTATGTATGTATGTATGATATAGCTCAGCTGTTAACAGAGAGGAGTGATACAACTTGTGTATGTACATGTTGTTCAGCTCTAAACAGAGATCTTAAGTATTCTGAAATCCTGTCTAATATAATCTAATTTTTAAATCGCTTTCTGAATCAGTAAATGTGAATTTCAGAGGTTATGATAGAGAATAGAGAACTTGAACTCATGCAAAAGTACAGTTCCCCTCCCCCCATTCCCCCTGCCCTGCATTTTACCCATAAAACATAAATTATGTTGCCAAAAACCTAAACAAGTTGAATGACAAACCAATTCAATCTTTGAGGAAAGACACAATCTTGTGTCAAGGGTAATTTCACAAAATGGAAATAAAAATGTCTTTTGCTTTCCTTGTCAGAATTCTGTGCCACTGTTTAGGCTGTGTACAAGAAATCATGACTTCTTTGGATTCGGAGCAGGTACATGTTTAACTAACAAACTATACTGATGCATTAAGCTGACAAAAACCCGAGTGACATATACATGATATACACTTGAATGTTGACAGAGGTGTTTTTACATACTGAAATAAGAATTTATGCAAAATTTTGTAGAAACAAGGTGCACTCCATGTCTTGATATGGTAATATGCATTAATGCCGGTTCATTTCTGAAAACCAAAATCTTAAACATGAGAAGGAAAAAAAATTAAAATCCTGAATAGTGTTACATGTGTAATTTCAACATAATTTCACTGAAAAAATCAGTAGAATAATTGGCTATCATTTCATGCTTTAGCCAGTTTGGCCATGGGTAATGCCAGGCATGTAGCATCAGGGGGATCGGAGGGGCAGGAGAGGGGGGTGGTTAGTCCCCCTCTTTTTCCCAACATAACTTTTTTCTATTGAAACTGTTCATTGAAAGACCATGCCCCCTCCCCCCTACTTTTTTGTTGAAGAATAGTCAAATAAGACCAATGTAAGTATTATAAATGTATGAAAAAAAAATTGGTGCTGAAAGAAGTTCCAATGTAAAAATTGAAATTATTATTTCATTTTCATTACATTTTGCAGCAAGTAAAACAAAAATTTTCAGACATCAAAACAATGAGACATCAAGAAAAGTTCATTATAATTTTTCTGTTTATATGATTTATAAAGAAAAAGAAATATATGGCACTAAGCAGCCTAAGTGTCAGTTTATTTATCCATTCCATTAGTTATTCAGTGTCCTTAAGCCGTCATGCACGGGAAGCAGTACAGGTCTCTGTCCCTAGGTGCTACAGTTCAATGTTGACAGCCTGCATAACATTATTCAACAGAGTCGTCCATCAAAGAACTGTGTAGGTCTATAAGAATTCAATGAACTTGGGTTAAACTAGCGATATCATTTCCTTATTTATATGTATAGTAATCAGCATGACTTACAGAAATTCTCTGAAGGGTTAGAATAATATAGTAATTGCATATGTAACGGTTGAGGAGAAAGATGCAATGGACCAGACCGGGATTTGAACCCGGGCCAACTGAATCTCTCGTCAGGTGCTCTACCAACTGAGATCAAACTCAGCTGACCGCCACACATACATTTACCACTTCATTAGGGAGGGTTGGAATTAATCGATGGCTGGCTGGTTTACACAGCTAATTATGCCACGTACATGTAACTTATGGTTGCACATGACACATTTCATGTATGTGAAATATACGTATCACATACATGTATGACAAACATGTTTCACGTATGTGATACAACCTTCATATAACGTGTGTGACTACATACGTTTCATATAACGTATGTGAAACGTGGATTTGGAATTAACATATGTGTTACATACGTGAAACATGCATTCAGAATACACATATGTGTTACATACGTGAAACGTACGTGTAACATATGTTAAGTGCAACCATAAGTTAGATGTACATGGCACAATTAGCTGTGCTAGGCCACTTAATTTTTAATCTGGCCTTAGGCTAGTATACTGCTGAAGGCACCTGCCTAATGGGCCAGGCCACCTTAAAAATAATGTTTGCTTAATACCCAGTATATACCCACTTAAATACCCAGAAATGCCCTATATAATACAGTCGCATGCAACCAATAAATTGTACTCACGTCTGTCGGAGTAGTCGTCCAGTAGGATGACCTCGTGTAGATACTCGGGAGGTGACCGGTTGACCACGCTGTGCGCTGTCCGGAGGAGAGGTGACCAGGCCTCGTTATGGAAGATGATGACAACACTGGCCGTGGGGAGGTCTCTGGGGTACCGCACGCTGTGACATCTACAGAAAGAAATATATATACGATATAGATCTATAAAATGTCCTGGTGGGGATTGGGTGGGGGATGGTGGGGAGTGAGGGTGTCACTAGGTTTTCGCATGCTGTGACATTTAGAGAAAAAAATATATACTGTATAGATCTGTAAAATGTCCTTGGGGGGAGGGGGTACCTAGGGTATCGCATGCTGTGACATCTACAGAGAGAAAAATGTAAACCACACAGATCTACAAAATGTCCGTGGGGGTGTGGGAGTGGGGGAAGACACTGGCTGTGCGGGTTAGGTCCCTATGGTTCTCATGTTGTGACATCTACATCTATTATAATAGAATGTAAAATATCAGATATACTATACAAAGGCTGGGAGAGGGGGTTGAAGACACTGGCTGAGGTTAGGTCCCTAGGGGACAATTTGGAACCTTCAGAAAGAAAAGAGAATAATCGTATGTCTATACAATTGTCACTTTTAAAGTTTGATATAGTCCAAACTGTGCAACTCATTTACATGATATAGAAAGACAGGGGAAAACTATAATTCCATCCTTATACAGCATTCGCAATGTTCACAAGTCCTCTTTTTGTTAAAGTAATTATTGTTACATTTTCTGCTATTATTCCTGTAACTCATATATCTCATTATACTGAGGAAATCTACTGAATTATACAGAGGAAATCTACTGTACTGAAAACGTGAGCATCACTGCACCCATTGTCTGTCTTTGTCCCCAGCTTGTAGACTGACTTTACATTCCTCCTTTACAAAAGAGTTTCTATAAAATTGCATGGCCATCATAATAACAATTAGGTAGACATGAATTCATTTATTCATGTTTTAAATTCTAAATACATAATTATGCCTATATTTTAATGTTCAAAATGCATATTTTTAAAAGTAAAAAAAAAAAAAACACTAGGCATTATCACCAAAAAATGTATTTCTTCTTACAAGTAAGACCAAAAAAATAATATTGTGTAGTTTATAATGTTTCCTTTTACCCAACATACCCTATTTTTTTGCACCCGACCCACAGAAAAAAAAAACAGCTCTTTAAATCGTGTTAATACAATTAGGGAGACACATGTACACAGTAGCACTGTTTAAGTACAGAACTTTGATTCTAACTGTCAGTTTTTTTTGTTTGTCATGATAAATAATTCAAAAAGAAACATTCTCATTCATAACATGCAAAACTCTGACAGGTTTCATTAATTCATTCTATCTTATTAGTGCAGTGAAATAATCCTAAAAGACAGCAAGTAAACTTAAAAAAAAAACCCATACTAAACCATCTCTTAGAAAAGGTTTTGATTAAGTCCACATTAATATTTTATAAAGAAGCTGTTAATCTGTTATTATACCATTCACTGTTACGGGTTTGACAAACGTCATGTTGAGCAATAAGCAGAAAATTTATGACATCAAACTAGAGGACGGCTTATCACTGTTATTATAACATCATTATCTTCATTCGCATTTCTTTTATAGCAATGCCTTCATCTACATCGCTAATAAACACACCTGAATTCATCCGACAGCTGACATGACATTAAAAACAAGCATATCTTCAATTAACATTCACTTTTGAGACAGTTTGTTTTAAATAAATTTCAACCAAATAATTACAGGTGTTCATAATGAGGTCTTGTTGAATTTTAGTGAGTGTACTTAAAGTCTCTGATTGTCATGTTTATTTGATATGTTTTTATCCTACAAAGAGTTGTAATACTGTTAAATGCATGCTTCTAAGCTCTTTATAAGAAATAAACCCACAAGTTGCATTATGTACCTGAATTGTTTTTAGAAAACAAAGAAAAGATTTAAGGAAAAAAGGACATTTTCAAGAGAGCAAAAAAATAGGGAAGAAAAAACAACCTATACCTCGAGTCCCTGACGTCAGGCACGGATCTGTCTAAAGCAATCTTATCACTGGCTATGATATTAAACGCCTCTTTCTTAAACAGAGAATCGGCTAACGTCTTCTCCTCTCCCTCTAGAATCACCGCCCGCCCTTTCTCCCCGGGGCCTTCACGTGCACCCTCCTTGGCGCGATAGTCCACGAATCTTTTCCTCCTGAGTTGTAAAATTTCATCATTGTCCACGGAGATTTTGGAGAAGCTGTAGTAGAAATATGACGTCACAATGACCAGTGCCAGTACTGTCAGGATTTTCCAATCTAAACGTTTTCTTCTACCACAAAGACGTGGCATCTTCTGTTTATCGCTTTTGTAAACTTAAAGTGAAAGTAAGACCTAGTATTTAAAACTGGATACGTAGTAGGGATAATATTCCGGATTTGTCGTGTCGATTTTCCTCTCAGAAAAACGAACAACAAACAAACAGATTCAAAGAACTGTGGTCCCCGCTTTCGATGTCTTAGTGGATGGGATATGTCATTATTTGTGGCATATTCTCAGGTGTTTGGGGACGGGACCCCCCCCCCCCCCTCTCCGGGACTTTTTTTGACTTGAAAAAATTCTGTGATATACATATTCACAAATATCTGATATTTGGCTGATATCAGAAGATATGAATTTTAATAAAGGGCTAGATTTAGCTTAAATTTGGGATTTTTCAGTTGTAATAGTATACTTTGTGAATATGTCGGGTAGACTTTACTTTACCGGTCCCCAGATCCGCAAGATCCTCGCACTCGATCATTGGACTATGACATAACAATTACGTCACTCAACTGAAATGGGTTAAAGAGCAAGAGCCACTTTGGGCCTTATTCGGCCCTGAGAAATTCTGAAAAATCAAAACCGCTAGATTTAGGTTGCAAATGCAGTATCTATCACTTGGAGTGTTGGTGACCACGTATCTATTAATCATGACGTAATATGTGACGTAGTTTATATTGGGTTTCAGCCACCCCGATTTTTTTTTGTATAATCTATCAGTTTATATAGTTTATATATCATATTGTTATAGAAGTTATGATCAAAGAGAGATAACTGTTGAATTTGTGTAAATCCGGAATGTGGGGTATATTTTGGGTTAGACTTTATTACTACTGAAACCCGCCAAATAAACGTAACGTGCTTCACCTCTCCTGTTCTTTATAGATTCTGCCAGGCCAGAGTAACATTTTGGGGGCTCGTCCGGGATCTTATCATGGCAGAGTTGACAGAGGAGATGTTGGAGGTGAGATCAAAGCTGATGATGGCACCACTGGACGCACTGAAGGGAATTCTGGAGGAATTCGGGGAGACTGTTGATACTTCCAAGAGTCGACTAGGGTGACTATGCAAGCAGATAAATTCTTCTTGAAGGAGATGGAAGGCGCACAGCCTGGAACCACCTTGCTTTCAGTAAAATTTACTTTAGCAGAGGCAGCTAAGAAAGAACTGGAAAAAAACTGAAAGTGTTAAGGACACTAAGTCTCCAGGGATTTCTGAAGAAGAAAAAGAAAAGAAACCAGAAGTCAAGAAAGAAAATCCCACAGCTGTAAAGCTACATAAGGACTTTAAAATCAGTGGTTGTAAGGCAGGGATATCTTACACAAGTCTAATTCGACAAATTGAAACTGGTAAACAGAAGGGATATTCGGAGGTTGATATCATTGATGGGGTGATCAAGGCAGTTGTTCCATCCTCGAGTCTTCGTAGTTACCTTGATGGACGACCTGACATAAATCTGGCTACTCTGAGGAGTATTCTAAGAGGACACTATGCAGAAAAAAATGCTACCGAGTTGTACAGTGAACTTGCCAGCGCGACCCAAAATCCTAAGGAAAACCCTAATGATTTCCTTTTGCGTGTCATGGACCTCAGGAACCGAATTCTGTTTGCTTCGGAGGAAGATAACAGTGAACTCAAATACAGTCCAGAACTGGTTGCTGGTCTATTCAGAAGAACAGTTTACACAGGATTACGAGACACAACACTGCGCCATGAAATGAGGAAACATTTGGACAAAGTGACTATATCAGATGCAGAGCTCATGCATGAGCTGAATCAGATTCTTATACAAGAGAGTTAGAGACTTAACAAACTCCAGTCTAAACACTCAGTGTCTCAAATTAACTCTACCTTGGAGATCAACTCTGTGAAAGAGGCCGTGAAAAATGACCTTGCAAGTGAAATTAAATCTTTACGACTCGAGATGAACCAATTGAAGGAACTTGTAGGACGTCCCCAAAGTGATGTGAGGACGCCACCAGTAAACCCAAGGAGCAGACCAGGATGTGCGGACTGCCAAGCCACCGGCAAGCGTTGCGACCACTGCTGGACATGTGGTGGATCCGGTCATCGTCGACAACAGTGCCCAAACAGGAAACCTCAGCCGTTGGGAAACCGCAGCGGGTCGTCTTAGAGGGACAGTTGGCGGCCCAGCAACAGAAATGTCCCGCGAGTTGCTTATCATGTCATTGTCTATTGTCTAGTGATACTATCAAAGTTTGCACAAGTTGTCATGTAGGCACATATTGTAGTGTAAATTGTCAAAAAGCACATTGGGTTGAACATAAGAATATTTGTAATGCTGTCAAATATATGAACACCAAATTTTTTGCTGAATGTCAACCTAACAATTTTCCTACAATGTCTGTAAATGAAATCAAAGGTGATGTTTATGATATTGGGCCAAACATTGTAAAACTTGTCAGTAAGCCATGTCATGTTTCTGATTTATTGAATGAGAAACCTGTGAAAGCATTGTGGGATACAGGGGCCCAAGTTTCATTGTTAAGTAAGTCATGGGTCATGAATTATTGTCCAGATTTATTTGAAAGTGTTTAGAGTGTTGAAGAATTTTTACAGTCAGAGAAATTTTCATTAGTGTCTGCCTCTGGCTCAGATATACCTATTGAAGGTGTTCTTACTGTCAGTTTAAAGTTCATACAACAAGGAAGTGCTATTCATGTGCCTTTTCTAATCACCAATGTGTCTGGTATGAATGAACCCATTCTTGGGTATAATATACAATACCTGTTACAATCTTTATATAAAAGTGATGCTGTTGACTTGTTAAAGTGTACTCTTCCAGCAGCTGATGAGGCTCAGGTGAACGCCCTCTACCGAGAGTTGAAAGACACAGGAGACGGAACACTGGGAATTGTCAAGGTAGGACGCAGGAATATAACTGTACCAAGACAGTCTTCGGTCATCGTCAAAGTGCCATTCAAGGCCAGACAACTTCAGCATGGCACTAAGGCTGTCTTCATTCCGTCTCAAGAATTGGATACATATGGAATTACATCACAGGAAATGCTTATCAATGTGAAGCCAAAGCGTACTAGACACGTCAAGTTGTTGTTGGCTAATCCATCCAAAATGGACAGTCATCCCAAAATGACACGTTGAAAGGATTTGTTCGTCAATTCACTTTGAGACTACAGGATCCAGTAGTGTTCAGACAGTAGTAAATAAAGTGAGTACTAAAAACTGTGAAAAGTGGGATCCACCTGTTGACCTCTCAAACTGTTCCCTTACCCCAGACCAGAAAGTGAAAGTTCAGGAACTGTTGAGGGAGGAATGTGAGGCATTTACATGTGATGATGATGATATCGGTTGTGCCGTGGACCTGCAGTTGGAGTTGGAACTGATGGACAAAGAACCAGTACATAGTTCTTACATGGCTGTACCGAGGCCTCTGTACCAAGAAGTAAAGGATTACATTGCCAACTTGTTACAGAAACGCTGGATTCGACGATCAACTTCTACCTACTCTAGTCCAATTGTGTGTGTAAGGAAGAAGGACGGATCACTCCGTTTATGCGTCGACTATCGGAAGCTAAATGCAAAGCTGTCCACAATCAACATCCAATTCCACGAGTACAGGATGCACTTGATTCCTTAGGAGAAAGTCACTGGTTCTCACTCCTGGATCAAAGCAAAGCATACCATCAGGGTTTTGTGAAAGAGGAATGCAGAAAATACACTTCATTTGTGACACCATGGGGACAGTATGAATGGAATCGTATTCCATTTGGACTCACAGGTGCTCCTGGAATATTCCAAGCATACATGAATGAAGCTCTAGAAGGACTCAGGGATAAGTGTTGTCTCCCATACTTAGATGACATTTTGGTGTACAGTAACTCTTTTGAGACTCATTTGAATGACCTTCAGTATGTGTTGCGTCGTATAAAGGAGAAAGGACTGAAATTGAAGCCTAGTAAATGCCATATCTTTCAGAAACAGATCCGTTACTTAGGTCACCTAGTCACTACACAGGGTCATACAATAGACCCAAATGACCAGGAAGCAGTGTTGAAATTAAAGGATCAGAAGTTTCAAACAGTTGGAGATGTACGGAAAGTGATGGGGTTTATTGGATATTACCGGAGTTATATCCCAAATTTCTCCCGTAGAGCAAAACCCATCTACGATTTACTGAAAGATGACAATGACGCACCCTTATTGGGGAAGACGCAGAAGAAAACCAAGTCCCAGAAATCAGGACAGAAGAGTTCATCAGTGCGGATTACATGGACAGCTGAACACCAAGGTATCTTGGAGGATCTCATTGACGTCCTACTTCACCCACCAGTGATGGCTTACCCTGATTTCAACAAACCATATACTCTCCACATTGATGCATCACAAATGGGTTGGGAGCTATCCTTTGTCAGAAACAGGATAATGACAAGCTGGCTGTAGTTGCTTACGCGTCAAGGACACTGACACCAGCGGAGCAAAACTACCACCTTCACTCGGGAAAATTAGAATTCCTAACACTCAAATGGGCAGTGATAGAGCGATTTAGAGATTACCTTTACTATGCCACTCATTTTGAAGTGTACAGTGACTATAACCCATTGCGATATATATTCACCGCCCCAAAGCTAGATGCTACGAGATTAAGTTGGGTTTCCATGTTGGCGGATTTCCGATTCCATATCCACTACAAGCCCGGTGTGAAAAACAGTGATGCAGATGGACTCAGTCGCATGCCCCTTGATGTATCCAAGTTTACAGAGAGTTGTTCCCCTGACACCATTGATGCATAGTGACAGCAGTAAGGTTAGACGAGACAGTTTGTAGCAGTATTTGTGCATCAGTGAAAGAGGCTGAAGCTGAGGAAGAAAAACTTCAGGGTTGAACCTTTTCTTCTATAAGCAGTGCTACCTTAAAACAGGAACAGATCTAGAGTAAGGACCCAGACATTGGGCTTATAATTCCTTTTGTACAAAAGGGGACAAGACCATCAAAGAAAGTAACCAAAGGTTGGAGCCCTGCTTCCAAGTGTTTACTAAGAGAATGGCCAAAGTTGAAGATGGTCAATGGACTACT